TTTACCTTATTTATTAAAAAAAAAGCGTTCAATATTTAAATACATTTGGACTGGTCCCGCTGGCTGGCCATTTATTATTTACTTTCTGTCCATTATTAAAGATTTAAGTTAAAAGCTTAATGCTCGCCATTCATATTTAATTTTCATGATTTTCCTTTTGTGGTTCCATTTTTTGTTGTTTTTTTTTTTTCCTTTGCTCTACATATTTTTATTTGTGAGTTTTTTTGGATGCACTTTTTGTGCGCTTCGAAAATGCCTTTGCGCTAAATTGCCCTCCCCCACCACTCTTGGGTTGGTGTGTGTCTGCCTGCATTGTTGTTGCTGCTGCTCCTGCTACAGCTACTGCCATCATTGCCATCATCATCATCATCATCAGCATCATCATCGTCGTCGCGGCCCTTGGCAACCCTGACCTGAATTTAACTCTAAAATTTGTGCGCGCTCTGGTATTTAATTTGTTATATTTTTTCCCTTTTTCAGTAAACGAGTGCGTGTGTGTGAGTGAGTGTTAATTTAATATTTGTTTGTGCCGCAAAACGTGGAAAAAGAAATGGAAACAAAAAACCCGGAAAACTAGTTAATTTAAAATTTTCAAGTTAGTTTCACATGGTAAACGTTGGCCAAGAGAAAGGTAAAAAATAAAAATTAAAAATAATAAAAGTGGTTTAGAAAAAGAAAGCAAAACAAAGGATTTGCCAACAAAAATAGGAATACAATTCTTTTTTATATAAGGATACAGTTTTCCTTAAAATCTTGAAAAAAAAAAATAATAATAATAATATAAAACAAGCCAAGTTCGGCATTCCGAAGTTTGTATACCCTTGCAGTTTCCAATTGAATTATTAAGAATCGACCCTGCAAGGATATAATCAATCAACTTTATCAAGGAATCAAGGAGGATCTCATCCATGTCTGCTGTGTGAAGATGCAAGCCAACAGAGTGTCCTTTACTACGGGTAAGTCGAAGCCAAAACCATTATATCAGCGATCGGGTTAAGAAACTTAGCTTAAAACATAAAAGAAAGCTTACTGCGGGAACATATCGCTCCTTGATTCCTTGATTAAGTTGATTGATTAAATCAAAACATTATTTACAATATATCAGGTTATATTTGTGGGTCTTAGTGGTTAGGTTACCATTCTTGGTAACGTCCAATTAGAGGTAAGCTCCGTTTATAGATGTTATAGTTTTGTATGTTTTAAAAGTAATGAAGTTTTTATGGCAGCTATATATACAATATATATAATATAATAATAGCCTTGCGGGGTATTATAATCTTCACCAGAGCAATTACGATTGGAGTTTTCAATTTATTTATTATTATTATTATTTATTTATTTTATATTATTTATTTTAGCGGTATTTGGGAGGTAATTGGACGGGACTTAATCGGAATTTCTTTTCTAGAAGGTTTTTATTTAAATAATTTATAATAAATATTTGAAAATTAAAAATACAAATTCTTAAATTTATTTCCACTGCAGAAACTCTCCCCCTTGCTATAGCAGCTTTTAGCTCTCTGGCAATTCTGTTGAGGAAGCTTGATAACAAGTGGCCAAGCGGTGTCATAAGCAGTTCATTAATTAGGGACTTTCAACTTCACAGACGCAAACAATGCGGCATCCCTGCGACCCTTCCACATTGACCAGCATGTTAGACTGGACCGAGTGTTTGGGAAAAACGGTTTCCCCACAGCAAAACCAAGAAGCTTAAATATAGCTCCTAGCATTTATACTCCTGCTTCTGCTCCTGCTCCTGCGGTAGCCAATGCTTCTGGTCTTCTCTGGTCTCTGGCTCCGCTTCAGTGGCAATGCCAGTGCCATTCTCTTGTCAGGTATTTCAGCTTGTTGTGTGCTGCAGTTATGTGTTTAACTGCCACACGCACGGTACACACACACAGAGAGAGAGAGAGAGAGAGAGAAACTCCCACCACGCCCACAGCCAGTGGTAAAGGGCCATGTCAACTGGCATACGAAACCAATTTCCTTTTTATGGCAAATGAAATGAAAATTTGAAATGACCACAGAAACCGGAGAGAGCGAAACCCTAAGAGAAAGTGGGGGGGATAGAGAGACAGTGCACTTGGAGAAACAATTAGAGAAGGGGATTACTTTAAAAATAAATTAAAAAGAACTATTAAAAAACCATTTAAAAACTGTATTTTTTAGAATTTATCATTATTTTTCCTTATTTTTTTAGGTCTTACATTTTATAACGTTTATGTGTCTGCACTTTTATTTTTTCTTGGCATTCCGTTTATAACCACATTAACCACAATATTTACAATCGCTTTGGGATAAGCTCACGGTGTGGCAGATCAGGAGATGGAGATGCCTCCTAGGAAAGGGACACTCGGACAAGATGTGACAATGTAGAGGAAGTGCTGGGCTGCAAATGTCTGAGGAGAACCGAGGCATTAACGACGAAATGTATCCAAACTGGAGGGAAATTTACACGCAGGAATAACTGAATTAGCCATTCACAGGACTTCAGCAGTCTTCATCTTGGCCGTAAGCTGGTTATGGACACAAAACAGCTGCTGCCGGTGGAGGAACCTATCCTTTTCTTTACTTTTTTTTTGTTGTATTTTCAGAGGTCAAAGAAGCAGTCTATGCGCAGCGGCTTTGCGGTGGATTTATTTTATTGCCAAAAATAAGGAACCAACAGATACAGATACAGATGCAAAGTGTTTGCATAAATACCATTTCATGTACAATTTTTATTTCTTTAGTAGGAGTTGGTATATGTTTCAAAATAAGTAGGTCAAGACATAATTGTGAAGGAAACAGTTTCGAGGCTCCACAAGACAAGAACGTTCTGATTACCTAATTCATAATAAAAACTACTACTAAAACATCTTTAATAAAGCATTTCTCTTAAGAACCTTTTGCTTTAAATTTGATTTTGCTTTAATCCTTTCGATTTTCCAAAACTATCCCAAAAGGACCTCTCTCTCTCTGCAGCTCATAAAGCGCCATACGAATGCGCATTTCATTTGATTTGATTTAATTTTATTGCCTTTTCTGTATGCTTCACTCCATTACTGCTTGGCTGCTCCTTGTTGCCAAATAAAAACAAAAAAAAAAAAAGAGGAAAAAAATATATAGAAGAGCCGAGTGAAACAGGATATGCCACTTTGCATTGGAATTAATTTAATTTGATTTTTATTTATTTATTCCAATGGGAATTGGTTTTTGTTTTAAGTCAAGTCAACCAACCAAGCGAGCCAATTTACAAGACCCAATATATACAGCTATATATTTTCTATATTTAAATATAGGAATATATATATAAAGTATATATAAGGTATGAAGTGAAAAAGTTACTTATATTGAATATATCTTGTATATATATCTGTTATTTTACCACTTTAATCTGTGGGAAATATTGAAAGAATCTTATCCCATTCGATATGAAATCAGTTAGATTTAAAAGGTTGCAAAGACCTACAACTACAAGACTTTAAAACATTCTTACTGCAATCATGTCAACTCTAAAAACTTCCCTTCAAAGGATTTAGTTCCTTAATATATAGATTTATATTCTTGGCTTGTATACGATTTAGTTCCTGTCTTCAGTCAACTAGTACATACCAGCTTTTCTTATCGGTTACCATACTCTTTTTTGTACCTTCAAGAGGCAAGTGTGGCCCCACAAATGACTGCCAATTGCTGGAATTCCTCATATGGTGGGAGGCCAGCCATTGTACATCTGTCAATCTATAACGGCAAGCATTCATTCACAGTCTCCTAGTCTCCTGGCTCAAATATTGAACTTCTTTATCCGAAAGGGCTTGAGCCTATTTGTCTGCGTTCTGTTTTTCGGGCTCTGCAAAGTCAAGTCGATGCCGTTTATATGGCCAGTCATGTGGCACGCATCATCATTTATCAAGCGGCCTCGGCCACAATTCGCAGGGCTGAAAACAAGCCAAAAATCATCGCCAAACTCCCGGAGCACCCGGAAACCTCCGATTCGCCCACTAAAGTCGCCGTCGCCATCGCCATTTTCTTGTCGCTGTCGCTGCTGCTTTTTCTCTCACTCCTTGGGCTCCTTTTGGCTATCCTGTCTCCTGTGCTTTCTTTGCTACTTTGTTCTCGTTGTTGTTTTTGTTGTTTTTGTCGGCGCTTATCTTGAGCGTTTGTCATTGATACACAGTGGGGCACAGAGGGACACAGTGGAACCAGAAATAGGTCAAGCTGGAAATGAATCGATTTTCAATGAATCGATTTTTTCTAACAAATTTAACAAAATAAATTGATTTAAATCGTTTAAAATCGAAATATAAATAAAATTAAATCGGATATAATTATTAAATATAATATATACACAATGTACTTTGTACTTAACTTTTCCACGAGTTTGCATACACGTATAAATTTTTCGATTAAAACGATTCCAAAAATTTAAATAGATTTATCGATTAATTGATTGATCGAATCGAATTATAATAATTTGTAACCGACATTAACCCAATTTCACAATTATTATCAAAATTATTCCCAATAATTACCTTAATAATAAATAATCTTATAATTATATATATAAATATTAATAATAATCATTAAGTAATACAAATACTTTCCCGATATATCTGCATTATTCCACTTTTTCTTCAACGCTTTCCACTGTCATTCCGGCAACGTTTGTTGGTGCTGTCACGTAACGGTTAAATCTGCATGAAAAATTAATGCTGTGTTGTTGATACGGGAAAATAGTGTGGGGAAATTGGAAGGGAGACTGGGTGCGTTTCGTTTTGTATTGAAATTAGCATTGTGGGGGGAGGGGATTGGCGGTGCCATTAGTCCACCACTTGTAATCTGTCCACTTACCACCCACAACTTTCAGTTACCCAATTTAGTGCTGTCCACTTTTCCCACATTGTTTACAGCTGAATCTTATATTACCCACAAGAGTAATACCCATACTCGCACCACTGTGATCCTTTTAGATATATTTTCCTGATATTTTGGACCATTATAATCGGAAAAGAGACAACAAATGAGAACTCTGCTATATTATGCACATATGTACATACATTCAACATTCAGGATTTTTTTGGGTTTCTAACTAATTTTTTTCACTCTGCTTCTGGACTATACTACTAACAATAAAATTGGCAAATACATCAGTTATTTCGATACAATCTGCATTCAGTAGCTGGATCGCCAGGGGGGGGTTTGATAGTGAAACTGACGGCGGGGTGGCTGCTGCTGACGCTGATGTTTTCCCGCCGATGTCTGTGATTGTGCCTGCTCGGATTCGTCGCGTCGCTGCAACAGCGTGGAAGCACCTCGTCGCTCTACTGCTGCCCCACCACCTCTTGGGTCTCCTCCATCTGCTTTTGGCCTCGATGTCGCTGCTGCTACTGCTTTTGTTGCAATCAAAGCTCCTGGCGCTGCCTTCGTCTTCTGCCTGAGCGATGGCGTTCCGCCCGCAGTCAAGGATGCTGCTACAGGAACTGCTGCAAGGCCTGGCATTACTTTGATGATCATCCCAGGCGTTACTAGAGAGCTGAGCAGCGGAGGTAGCCCTATCTTACTCATTGCCTTTACCGGAGATCCAGTGGTCACGTTGCCTCCCTTTCCCAATCCCGACATCAGTGGTTTTCCTTCTGCAGTGCCCTTGAGAACGTTACGGACCGTCGGGTCCTGGCGGCTCTGCAGCCTCGGTAGCTGGACGGGTTGTAGGTCTTCCTCTGGGAGCTGCTGGTTGAAGTGAGAGTTCGAGTCGAATTTTCGGCTTGGTTTCGGCTTCGGGCTGAGCTTCTGAAGACACTGTGCCTGCTGGTGCAGGGCCTCTACCTTCAGCATCTGCTGCTGGGTGCGGAAGGCACGCTTGTAGGCCAATACCTGTGGACCAGTCGAAAGGTTAATGTTATCAAATGCCATTATATAGTAGGATGCGTAACGCATATACATCCGAAAAGGAATCTTATGGCGTTACGCATCTTACTTCATTTATATTGTCTTTGTTTACACCTGCGAGGCACTCGCCGCCAGCAGTGGATTGCTACCCTTGAGCTGGGCGGACGTCTTTTGTGGCAGAGATGACGGAACAGTGATGGCTCTGGTGCTGTGCACCCACTTCTGCGGGCCCAGGTTTTGCTCTCTCTGCTCCGACTCCTTCTCCAGACTCCCCGACTTCTCAGGCTGCTTGTGTGGAATTTTGTTAATCGGATGCCCTGACGTCAGGTCATCCTCGGCTGCCGGGAAGTAGGCCCGATGGCTGCCGCGGCTTAACCGGTTGGTGGTCCCGTTGGTCCCTTTGGCCACCCTCAGCCTGGCTTTGGGGCTATCCAGCATTGTCATCATTTGGGGCTTGGCTTTGCTCTTGACCATGTCGAGACAGAGGGGCATGTCCTCATCTGGAGAATCCACCTCTAGAAGACGTTGCTGCAGTTGCGCCCGTCGCCTGGGAGCGCATTCGACACGAACGGACTTATTGTGTGCAGGATACAACCTGCATTCCTCGGCAAATGCTTCGGAAGCGGCTTCCGAAGGATCCGCCGAAGCTCCGTTGAATGAGGCCACTACTGACGATCGCTGGGACTGTGACTTGGTCGTTGAAGACCCTCGCCAATCGGTGTTCCTTGCTCCTTTGATGTCGCTATATGCACCAGAATTTGAACTTATCTTTTGGGTAACTGCTGCCAATCCCCTAAACTCTGGGTTCGTTGGCCGGGAGTTGGTTACGTGATTCCTGTTCAGTGGGCTTGCCTCTGCACACCGCACGGCTGACAGAGGCTGACAAGTCACTCTAAGGCGGGAACTGTCTGTTCTTGAGGGCTTGCTCCTTGGAGTTTCCTCTCTACTGTCTGTCCATTTGGCTGCCGCTCTTCGTCCAGAATTGAAAGTTGTGCTGGGCTTGGCATGTCTGAAATGGCGCTGGGCCACAGCGGATGCTGATTGTGATGAGGATGAGATCACTGTGCATTGGGGGATTGTGAGGGGCTCCTTACCTGAACTCTGTCCCGCTGACAAGGAGGTTTGCGAGCTGGTATCCAGACTAGATCCCCTTGTTCTCCGTGAGGTAAGATCGTAGACCTGCTCGGCATCTGGCACATCTGGCGGAGGCAGTGGGGACTCCAACAGACCACCCCTGGGCACCTCCAGGCTGCGGCTCCTTTGCATGTGGTTCGCATATAGGACATTGCGGGTGCTGAGTGGTTGCATTAGCATATGCTGATTCTCCTCCTGCCTCCCGCCGATGGTGTTGAGGCTGGAGCTGGAGCTGGTGCTGCTGCCTTTGTGCAATCTGCGTTGGTAGCCACCGCCTTGTGGACGACGATCGAAGGCGTAATTGCTCACCGGGCCATCGGCGAACTGAATGTACTCGAACTGATTGGCGCGATCACCTGGAGAGGACAAATGGTATTCATGAAAAGTACCGAAAATACAGAGGGGATTGGCTCTAACTCCCACCTAGAGTGTGGAAGCGGAAGCGCACCGTCGGGGGCTGACGGATAACATCGAGTAGGTTACCGCTGGCGCGTCCGTTTCCGCTTCCGGACGTCATCAGGTGATGGCCCAACTCCGAGCTAGTTCCCTGCCCCTTGACGGTATGGTTGACCATCGAAATCTGGCGCTTCAGCGTCTCGTCCACGGTCATCAGGGTGTCGGACTCTCCCATGGGTATCAACGCTGCATTAGCCAGAGTGGTCTTCTCGATGGCCTTCATGTGCTGCTTGCGGCACGGTGGCATCTGGCGCCCCATCAGCTTGGAAATCGAGTTGCCCATTCCAAGGCCCTTGGGCGGCGGAACGCTCAGGGACCGTGCACTAAACAACCCCATATCCGTGTCTAGCCGGTGTCCGTTGGCCACCTCGATAACCCTGCTGCCCCGTCGGCCCATCCTTTTGCGCTCCCTCTTCGCAATCGCTCGGCTCCTGCGCAGGCAGCGCGGCAAGGTCTCCATTACGAGCCTGTGCTGGGAAGGCTCGCTGCTGGCACTGGAGCAGCTGGTGGAGCTGCTGTCCCCCAGCTCCGACTGTTCGTAGACCGAGTACGGACGAGCCCCACTGGTTGATCTGGCCATATCCGCCCCGCCCACTGAGAAGGACAACGAGCGCTGGCGGCTCGTTTTCATCACCGTGGGCAGTCGCTGACCAGAGGCGATGCTGGCCGCCTGGTTCACCTGCAACCGGTGGATACGCGAATATTCGTCAGCATAACTAGGCACCGGCTCCATCTTCTTCGTCTTCTTTGCTTTACTCCCCGGGCTCGCATTATCCTCCAGCCGGAGCAAGCGATTGTGTCTGTTGTCTGGAAGGGATGTTAGAAGGGGTTAACAGCCTAGTCGATCTAGCCATGTACGTTTCTGTGCGTTCTTAAAGGAAATAGTCTTATTACAGCACCAATTTTTGCCTAACAGCACTGTGTTGGTCTTTTTCGATAGGATAAATTACAGGGAGGTGCGTTTTTAAAGCCAATTTAACTTATGCTTTTTTTTTCGATGTGTTAAGGTTTCGGGATAATAATAAATAAATAAAAAAAAAAATAATAATACAAAATAAAACGAGTAATAATAACACCATACTTAGACCTATTTCTTGGAGTTTAACCATAACTTATGCATACCGTGGGACATGCCTGAGCAGCCGCGTTCGTAATACGACCTGACGGCACTCTCGTAGAGCTCGCTGGTGTTGCGCAGGAACCATGGCTGCATCCGGCCATTGCCTCGGATCAGGCGATTCAGCTTTTCGGGCTTCATTGCCCAGCCGTTGGACCCAAGGGCCTTCGCCGAGGTGTCGGTTGACAAGCGGCGGCTCTCTCGTCGTGCCTGGGAGGATCACTATACTGGAACTTGAATAATTTTGCCTTGAAAAGTTCACCAAAAACCGATATATGTATGTACTTGTGGAATTTTTATATGTATGTCTCTGAGACCACTTTTAAATTGTAGATGTAGAAAATGGACTGACTAAGGATGTACTAAAACATGCCGCTGCGTGAAAGCCTTAGCCCGAGTAATTGTATATATTGAGAAAAAAAAAACAAAATTCCAAATATATTCCGCGTGTTAAAGCAAAAGTTAAAATAATTAATTCATTCCGGAAGTTTTCAATTTTGTTATAAAGTCATAGGGTTACTGGGTTTGGGCGGAAAGGTACGAACTGAAAAGAAGTTAAAATCACTTTTTCTGCAAGTTTAAGATTTAAAAAAAATGTTGAGCACTGATAAATATCACAGGCTGTCACTTGAAACAATCGTGAATGCTAATGAGCGTAGCTTGACTCCTCTGAAACCCACCGAATCCCTCTGAATCCCACATCCAATCTGGCTCCCGGGGGCTTATGCACAGATCAAATCCCCGGACTCGTTCGGGACACGTTCCATCCGCTTCAACCGTAACTTAGTTGCATAATTATGTGTGTTTCAATCAAATTAGCCCACACACCGGACATACGTAATGCACCCATGCCTATGCCCTAGCCCCTGTCCCGGCCCACCCAAAAACCCTCTGCAAACACCCATTTGACATTGATTTATCAGCGACTGTCAAAGTGGCTTCATCTGCCCTGATCCCTCATACCTCATGCCTCATGCCTCATACCTCATACCAGCTTCGCCCGCAGGTCGTGGTCGAGGTAAAAAAGTAATAATTAGCCGCAGTGATGTGATGATGTCCGAGCCCCCACTATCTCTTTTCCCGCCGAATCGATTTTGAGCTTGGCCAGCATCAATTTGTCAAAGTTTTGCTTGAAAAATGAATGCTGGTCGTTCGATGGATATGCACTGTAAGAAATCATAGAGTACTTTTTTGTAAAGTCCTTAAAAAAAGACAAAACAAAACAAAATAATAAATAAGTACGAGACTTGAACCCACAAGAAAGGGCTTAGGATAATGATTTGTAAAAAGAATTTATTTTCTATCAGCATAAAATCTTTTATAAATTGCTAAAGTCTTTTTAACTAGTAAGATGCATAACGCTCTTACAAGATCTAGATCGTTTGTATGCACACAAGAGAGCGGTCTCTCTCTCTCTCTCTCTCTGATAATAGAGCCTGAAGCTGCCGTTACGCATCTTATTATGCTTTATTACAACATAAATTTTTTCGAGTGTGCACTTTATTGGCTAGGTGGCGGAATGGCGCTAACGGCTCGACGCTCGAGTGCGTGTGTTAGTCCGTGGCAGTCCTCTGCCAGGGGAGCCTGCTCGTTGACCAGTCCATTGATTATGTTGTTTGCCTGTTGTTACCACCGACCCTGGCGCACCGCTAACATCCCGCTGGCAAAAAGTGCGCAAAATGGAAATGGATGGAACGCAGAATGAGAGTATACGGATGCAGGAAGCCAAAACCCGGACCCGGACCCGGATCCGAATCCGGAGCAGCTGCATCTGATCCCTGGCTAAATGCATTCTGTGCGCACGAATGCAAAAATTGATTTTAATTCAATTACAGTGCATAATTTATGCGTTGCTAAATCTACCACTAACCCGGGTCTGTTTCCCTGTGGCGTTTCCCTCTTCCTATTTCCATCCTGCGACCTCGACCACGTACATTTCTGCCTATGTATTGGTGTTCCGATGGCAAATGGTTGCCTACTTTTGGGTGCTTTGTTTTACTTTTTTGAACAAGAAATAGCCTGGGAAACTGAATAGTTTTAAATTATCAAGACAAATGAAATCATTAAGTTTGAGTTGGTTTCCTACCTTTTAACTTCTTTTTGCTAATTCCTGGTATTTCACAGAGTACTTATCTTACTTGTCACCTTTATCTCGCTCTTTTTCATCAAATTTTCAACTAAATTTGGGTAATTAATTGGCACATTAGTAACTACGTACAACATCCTTCCTTTGTATCCTCCGGCCACCTTTGACCTTTCTAATTGCGGCTTTCAGGAATATATAGAAGGGCAGGGCATTAGTAAAAGAAATTCGAGTACAGAACTTTGACACTCGGCCGTCCTTTCGCATTTGCCGAGAGTCCGACAAAATATGTTGAAAGCATCTTTCGCTTTTTTTTTTCGTCCTCTTTGTCAGCTTGCTCCTGCCTCTAAGCTGCCACATTAGCAAGTGAGGTGCAAAGTTTACGAGTGTCCTTTTTTCACTTCTCCGCTGCTTGTGCTCGTTCTTATTCTCCTCCTTCTCCTTCCTGCCGCGCCCCCTTCTGCTTTGCCCTCTTTGGCTGAACACGTGCTGTACCCCGGAAATGTTCACTTGGAGTGACTTCCGTTGGTTCTGGGAATGAAGGGAACAAAGTTTTCGGTTAAGTTAACTACTAACATATATTTTGAAAATTATAATTTAAAATTATTTAATTTTATTTTAAATTTTAGAGTCTAAAGACATAAAAACCAGTTACTTTTCCTAAATTAAGACATAACAGAGAGACCTGCCAGTGGGTCTGGAAGTCCTTGTTAATGGATTCAGGAGACTACAAAGTGTTTCCTATCCTGTAAAATCTATTTTCTTTAAATTTACATACAAATTTAAGAGTCAAGATCTATATTTTTTAGAAAATATATAGTGCTGAGAGGATCTTCCAGGGTATTCGCTACCTAAAGGATCATTTCTTAGCCTTCTTTCACTTGAGTTTGCTTCTGTCTGTTTGCTGCTTTGTTGTTCCTTTTATGTTGCTGTTTGTTTTGATTTTTGAGTGGAAATTATGACGAGAACTCGTTCCGTTTCGCCGGCTTTTGCTTCCTTTGACAGGTGAAAGATGGTCGTGAGGTGACAAAAGGGGCCGGGATGGAACAAGCCCCTCTGTCCATCCTGTCAGCGTCCGCGGTTGTCGCTGCGCAGTGGCCTCATTAAAATTGACATTCATTGCATTTGGGCAATTAGACTAATTGACTTTTAACCAGTTTCGGCGGCACATGTGACCCACTCACCTGGCGACTGCCGCTGAATGGACTCGTGAATTTTGCATGGCTTGCCCTTCGTTATGGCGCGATTGTGGAGCGTGTTCGTTCATCGGGTAATTAGGTTTCTGGAAATGCACGAATAATCCCTTAAAATATATAGATAATCGATGGAAAATGTTGTAGTTAGGTTTGGCCTCGGTTACTCTTACTTATTGAATAGTTTTTCCTTCCCATTATCGCTTACAGCAATTTTTTTGTGTATTAATTTGTGAAATTCAGTCGTGGATGAAGAGGAAACGATGGGATTATTACAAGAGTGAAAGCTGTGATAAGGATCAATCAACGGTATATCGTTTGCCACATTCCGGCGCCTTAAGTTGAACTAGAGATACTGAGGCAGGACCTTGTCAGGACCAAGGACTGACTCTCTGGCCGCGAACGAAAAACCGCACAGGAATGTGGCGAAAAACTGTGTGGAAAATGTGCGGGGGCAACGGCGGATGGGGATGGGTGCTATGGAAAAGCGGTTGCGGGAAAAATGCGGAACTGCAAAATGGAGATGAATGATGTGCGGGGGATTTAGAAACAGTTGCCACATGGCGTTAGTCAAGCTTAGGGATGCAAGTCAACTGCGCTTAGCGGTGCACTCACTTTGGTATAGAGGAGAGGAGAGGAGAGGAGGGGCTGGGCAGGATGGCGGGGATAATGCTGCTGCCGGAAAGCCCTGGAAAAGCCATCTCTCTCTCTCTACCCGGGCTCACCCACCCACTCACTCACTGCAGTCCGCTCTCATTCATTCATTTGCTCAGTCTGGCATTCATTCATTTCCTTGATTATGTTTCTTATCAATGATAAATGAATATGAACGTACCGTGCCGAGCACTCAAAACTGCTCCAAACTGGCTATCAAAGTGAAAGTCGACCAGCGGCAGGGGAAGCCTTGGCTTTGCCCGAAACTTGTAGCCAGATTTTTGGTTGGGTGAGAATGAACTTATGGATGGTCTTTTGCAAGATTTAAATATATTCAAGTATTTTTTTAAAAATATATGATTTAATTAAGTTTTAAAGGGTTTGAATTTTATAAATATTTATATTTTATATATATGTATTTTTTTTACATTTAAATCTACCTTCATTTATTCTGGTTATTCTCCGGTTCATTGCTATAGTTTACATTCAAGGCATATATACTTTCGATCGTTGGAAAAAGTAATACGCCACACACACTCACAACACCCTCAAATACACACACATTACATATACATATATTAGAAATCCAAGAGCTCGGTGAAGCGAGAGCCAAAAGGGAAACGGAACCAAAACTGCTCCTGATGCGGCTGCATCCAAACCTGCCACATTGCCGACCCTTTCCGGAACCTCCAACCAGCAGCCAGAGATGCCCACATCCCGAACTAGACCAGACCAGACCAGGCCCAGACCGATGCACAGTGGGGTCAGACTTTTAAAACAAGTGAGAAAATGTATAAATTTAAAAGGACTTTTTTTTAATTGAAAACTTGTGATACAAAATTGTAAATACCATAGAAATATCGTGTTAATGAAATCTAAAAATAAAGCCAGGTTGAAAACCAAATTACAAAATGATTTTAAGATCAAAAGTGTTTTAAAAGATATTGGATTGCCCTGTAATAAAAATACCAATTAAGTTGCCTTTATTGAAGTTTAAAAATTATTAAAAATAAAAATTCGATAAAGGTTTGACATTATAAGAAAGAAAGAAAAAAGATTACTTTATATATACTTCATGAATATATCTTGGGGCTTTGCTTGCTTTTCTTAGGGCTCCATTTAAAAGCTCAATTTCCGGTAGTAATAGTTCCATTTCCGGTAGTAGTAGTTCCATTTCCGGTAGTAGTAGTTCCATTTCCGTTTGATGTTGCATTTATGGAGCACGGCTTGCAATATTCCTTTATACGACGTAAATTACAGAAAGTTTTCGTGTTATCGAAGAAGAACGTTAGAAAAGTGTTCAAATTCTGCAAAGATTTTGTTTCAGGTTAGAATCAAGTTGGTAAGTAATGCAAATGCTTACGGTTAACTCGGTTTTGCAACCGGGAAATTCAGACTTCTTGCAGAATCGATTGACCTCATTATAAATCTTATCGAAGCGGCATTTTTTGGCAGAAAGGCTGCTGGAGAAACTCCCGAAAAGGATAAGAACCACAATGAAAAGGCACATCTTTAGGATTGATTTTAGAGCACTATTGCCATTCTATATTTATAGAACAAAATTTCTAAAAGCTATATAATTTCTAATTTGTATTTAGATAACAGTTTGGTTAAGGTCGCATGATCGTGAGTCGTTTAAACTTAAATTAAGTTTTGCAAATTGGTTTTCAAAGTGCAGTTTTTTAGAGCAAAAACTAATTTGAGACCGTCACGATTTCAGCTGCAAAACTCCACCTCCATTGGGAATATGTAAATAAGTTGGTAAGTATTACTATGTGCACATTATTTATTGGGATTTTTATTTATTATTTTTTATTTACCATTATGTATTTATATTAATTTATGCTTATTTATTTTCTATGAATTTTATGAAAATTCAACAGTTTAATTTCGTGTTATTTTTTATATAAATCTCTCGAACAAATTCACCTCGCCATCACTTGATTGCCACAGCAACTTTGAAGCGAAACGTTCTTTGTGGTTGGACAGGCAGTGGGTTAAGGGGCCGTCGGGGGTTAAGGGGCAACGTCATGGCCAAAATTCTTGCTGCAAATCAGCCAGCATTGCGGGGAGGCTGGGGCTTGAACGATTCAACTGGCGCTCGGCCATTTTCCAGCACTTTAGAAATAAAATTTTTAACAACTCGTCGGGGCGGCCGCTAAGTGCGTGGACGCTTAAGCTCTCCAGAGGCGCTGGTAAGGGGGGGAGGCGGGTTTAAGCGAGAGCTTCAGGGAATAGCAGAATTGTGCAGTTGCGGTGGCACAGAATGAAAATGTTTATGCTACTTTGTAATCCCCAATACAACTCAATTCAATTATCAACAAGTTGTGCAAGAGAAGTTTTTATATGTTTCATTTCTAACGATTATTGATAGGATTCTTAAGGTAGGATTAAGGTTATGGTTAAGGTTCTTAACTCTCAACTGGGCTAGTTCTAGTATAAATTTCGTGAGGAGTTAAACTTCCTGCTAGGAAAATTGTCTATTGTGTCAATGTAAGAGAAAATATTAACATTAAACTCCCTGTCAAGTATTTTTTAAGTCTATGTCATTCAACATGTAACGTGGGGTTAGCCGGGTCGGTTTTTATCCCTCTGTTAAATTTTTTTTCAATTTGGCCGTTTTAATGTAAAAGCTAATGCTAACAGGGTCCCGGGGAGTTTCTGTCAAATCTATTCTATTCCTTAACTCTCAGTCTACCTCTACTGTTAAAGTTTCTCGAACGGATAAAGCCTAAGGAAATATGGTATGGAGCTAACGTTAACGGGGAGCCGAAGACAATCTGAGAAGTCTTTTTCGGCAAAGAAGAAAATGAGAAGATATTCAGGCCTGCTCCGGTAATCGAAAACGGCAAGAATTTTTCGTTTTCGTTTTTGAAAACGATTTTTCGATTTGAAAAACGGGCACCTTTTTCTGGCCGGAATGAAAAGTAAATGGTTTTTTCTATATGAAATCAGACCTTATTTACAAAAGGAAAAAAATAGTTTACTCAGTGGTCTATTGATGTTTATTCCACAACACCATAAGATCATTCTGGCAGGTAGTTATTTTATAAAAAATTTATTTCTGACCCCACCTCAGATTTGACAACAAAATTTTTGCCGTGTTCAGCCAGTTTTCTCGTTTCGGCGATAGGTCGATAAGTTCACCGCAAAAAGTTATCGCTAAGGTTGCCATACTGTTGGTGGAACGAAACAGACAGTTAAAAATACTTATAAAATATAAATGAATACATTAATAACTTTAAAGGACCGCCAAAATGGTTGTTTATAATTAATACTATTTAATGTGATTACTTAAATGGTCCAAATTAACCAAATAAATATTTGAGACCACCGGAATTAAAACTGTGAAAAGTGTGGCAGCATCTTAGGTGCATGAATTTGCTTAATTCTACCATTTTTTGCCTTTTTCTGGCTTAGAAAAAGGGCAATTGTAAATATAATAGGCAGTACTTTACGTTGTTTGCTTATTACCAACAACACAAGTTAGCTGCTTGAGCAGTGAGAAACGATGAGAAAACGAAACATCCGATAGCAGAAATTTGCCGAAAACCGGAGCAGCTAAAAACGAAAACGGTTCGTTTTCGCCCAAAACGAAATCGAAAAAATTTTACGATTACCGGAGCAGGCCTGATTATAACTATTTTGTTCGAAGAGCGTTGTGTTTGCCTCCGCTTTACAGTACAAATCGTCGATTAACAGCACTCTGTTGGTCTTTTTCGACGGGATAAATTTGCATTTACTACACGTTTATCTGGTAGTCAACCTTTTCGTTCAGATATTACTATAATTTTCAGTCTGAAATAATTTGTTGTATATATGTAAACCAAGGCCAGTTGCATCGTTTCCACTGACTTTCTTGACCTTCTGGCGGATGCAATACCGTTCCGCGAAAACTTTTTGCCACTCAGCTAAAATATGCAGAACGAAGCTGGGGCAGAAGCGGTAGCACCATCATCATCATCATCAGCTGCTCAGCCCTAACATCAATTACGCACACATTGCAACATGTGCCACGCCCACTCCCAGCCAAGCAAGCAACCAACCATCCCAGCCTCTTGGCCAGCGCCCTCTTGTTCATCCCTTTGATGATGGATTTTCTGATGAATTAATAATGCCGAGTGGGCGAGAGCTGCATATTCTTGCACTTCTCTCTATCGCCATGCCAATCCCCGCAATTATGTCACGCCAGCCAGGGGTTAATTGGAGGTAGAAGGAGCTGTGGTGGGGGTTAAGTTCTGTCGTCCGGCCTTATAAGGCAAAAGGCGTCGACTGTTCCCGCTCTATATTCCGTGTTCAAGTTCCAGTTACCAGCAGCATTATTTATGCCAATTGACGTTGAATAATTAGCCTTCCGTTTTTGCCGGGGCTTAAAATTGTCAGCCATCGGGCTGCGCCATTAACCCCCTGGTGGTGCTCCCATTGCCTCGGTAATTTGTGATATATGACTAGTCGATGGCGGCCATCAATATTTCCCGGGCTAATGACTCCTCCTCCGGCTTGCAGCGTCATCGCTTCGAGAGTGTGGGGGGAGGGGGTTGGCAAAGGCGGAAATGAGTGCGGAAAAGTGCGGAAAAATGCACTCGGGGGGCCAGGGGAGGAGGAGAGGAGTAGAGCATATAAAAATATAGTGGCAAAGGGTGCAAGGATAATGACCGTTATGATGATGGCCCAAATGACTAGCAGGAAAGCTGGAGATGGAACAAGTTTTGGCTATTAAAAGTCCGCCCTAACCCTAATCGATTTTTTTTTACTATTTGTGTATTTGGAATATATATAATATATAGATATTTTATTTTAAATCCTAAAATACTTTGCCAAATTAAGGAAAGGTTATAATTTTAATTTTCAAATGCTGCTAGTCGCAACTTTTTAGCCACTCTCCTCGGGGACAATCAAACGAAATGCGAAAAGTCTGCCACCGCCAAGGAAATAGACCCGGAAAAATCCAGAACAAAAAGAAAATACAATAAAAAAAGGAGAGTACATGAAAATTTGTGAAAACAGAAAGAATCTGGGAAGTAGGAAAAAAAAGTAACTCGAATGTATGGTGGGAACTTGGAGGGCAAAACATGTGAGAAACTCTTAGGGTTCATGTCCTCTGGTACTCTACAAGAGGGTTGTATGTGGCTTAAAGATTTTTAAAATTATTTGTGAAAAAAAGAAATCTATATATAGAAGTAGATTGTTTTATATACAAGCTATAGAAGATATAAAACCTATGAAAGTTAGCTCTTTTCCTATTTCTATAAATAATAACAACTTAAAATAGTTAAAATGACTTTCTTAAGCAAATAATTAATTCAGTTATTTTAAAAATGAAACCTAGAACATTTATAATAATTAAATTTATAAATTTATATAGTTTAAATACAATTTTTCATTTGATATTGCGAATTATAACTTGGTAAGGGCATTCAAAGTTCTCTACGATTCACCTTTCAAGGGGCATTTACCCCATTTTCGTTTTATTTCCCGTCTTGGGCGAGTTTTCTTCATTTCTGTGTGTTAGTGTGTGTGAGTGTTGGGCCAGGGGAATTGGCTTTTGGGCTTTTGGGTCCTGACAAGTGTGCCGAAATGTCCCAGACATTTGTCATGCCTGCGTGAGGAGGGGCCTAGCTGTCAGGCGGCGGGTGTACGAGAGTGTGTGTGTGTGTGTCCGGGGGGTGTGTGTGGTGAAGCAAAAGTCACACAGACACATTGAATGAGCTGCCTGCCCCCCCTGCCACCTCATCTCACTCAATCAAATAGGCAGATAGCTAAATGTACCATCTACCAAAAGCTGCAATCGAGTGGAGGTTCCATTGAAATTGAGGGGTGTTCCGGTCAGTAGTTAAACCAACAGGTTTGGCCAATAAAAAAGCGAGTGTATAAAGGTGAAGGATTAACATATATTTAAGTAAATAAATTTTAAATTGTTAGGTGACAAAAGATAAGTTTCCAAATTGAATTTTATTAATAAAGCAGAGGTACCGTCATGTAACTCAGTTCTATATCTTGTTTAAAATATTTTTATTGACTTTACTCTAAGGATAAAACAAACCCTGTTCCCCTGTCTTTCTAACACCTAATTAAGAAACTCGCTTCAAAAATCCGCTTCACTTTCAACTAATCGATCTATTAACTTTGCCGTTTCAGGCGAAAGGTAAATCCCCAGAAGTCTTTCTACAAACTTCCTCTTCAGCTCCTCGAGGGCTCTGGCAAGTTTATAAAAGAGTAAATAGACCCATTAACCTGTTAATGTGGATTATCTGCCACTCTCATTTCCTCACCTTTTCCTCTTACCTGCCCCCTGCAGCTTGCTTTTCCTTGACTCTTCTTAAGAATGGAAAAACAGAGAGAAATGGAAATTATGAGGTATTCGAAGGAAATACATTTATCCTTGCCAAGATACCGGTTCAGCAAACTCAATTTAAATACTAAAGAATTTAAACAATACAATGAAATAAATATTTATATATTTCTTAGTCAACTCTTAACTTTTAATTTCAACTTTAAAAAATTACAAATAAATTTTAAATATCCGGGATACAAAATCGGATTTGGGTATAAATATTAACTCTAAAAAAAGAAACAGATTTATTAGCGGCTTTATCCTATGCTCTGCAATCTGGAGGGAATCTAATTGCCGGATTTGTTGGCTTGTCGTAGTACCTCGGCGTAGGATAGACCGCATTTCTTGAGAGAAGTATCTGAGGTTAAGGGAGCATTGACGCATCCACGGGATATATTCAACACCTTCGAGATACTGCCCTGTGCCATGAGGTCTGGGTTACGCTGCTCGCTGGTGGGTTGACGTTTCCGGGTCACATTATCATAGCTCTGGTGGCGGTGCTGCCGGCGATTCTTCTTTTTGACACCAGCTGCTATTGTTTGGTATTCCTGGGGCTTTCGCTGAAGTGGCTTCCGCAAGCGTCCATTCTCCACAATAGACTTAATGGGAGAGGGCTCACAGACCGCACTCGGCTTGGAGGCGGTTGTCGGAGGTTGTAGGGGCTTTCTGGCCGAGGATACCACCTTAGGAGATTCCTTCTTCAGGGATTTAGCAATTATGGCACTTCCCTGAATCAATCCCGGCTTATCGTCGGACTTTTGCTCCTGGTAGAGTTTCCAATGCTCGCCGGGATGTTTACGAAACTGAGATTCGTTGGTCTGGCTGTACTTGCTGTCCGTTCCATAGGAGACACCCGACGAGGAGCTCTCCGTCTCCCAGAGTTCAATAGGCGCAATATTGAGCTTTACCACGAATTCCTTTGACCTACTTTCCTTCTTTTTGTGCTTCAAGCCTGGAGAAGCATCCCAGTCGCTGGTCTTTTTGGCCTCGGCAAGATTTCTCGAGGCGCTGGAAGTCCGCTGAACCTCTAGCAAAGCCTCAAATTTCTCGACTACTTCGTGATAAGGATTTAAGCTTTCATTGGCGTTCAGTTGGAGATCGTTGGCGGTTTTCAGAAAGCGATCCTGGGAGGTGCTTCCACTGCGAGAGATCACTTCCGAGGAGGCAGGGATTGACTGCTCGTCGAGATCTTGTTTGATGAATCGCAGGCAGCGTGTGCACAACTGGCCCTGTACCACCTCGTCTAGGAGTGAGAGCTCTCCTTGCAGGGACATCGTTTCATGGCTGCCACTGGCTTCGGCCAGGCGACCCTGCAGGCTTTGGTTCTCCTGGATGATGGCCCCCAGCTGCTCCTCCAGATCAGCGCAACGCTGCTGCTCGGCGAGAAAGTCCTGCTTGGTGGTTTCCATTTCACGTAGCAGCCTGTCCAGCTCCTTCCTGTCTTCGCTGTTCAGGAAATTCTCTTTGACTGAGTTGGCATGACAAAGCGAGTGGTTCTCGGCCGGGACTTTGGCTTGAAACTGGTGATAAACCATTTCCTGGTTGTTGGAAATGGTTAACTTGGTGTGGCGCTCCTGCCGATGACGCTCGACCTTGCTCAGCGACTGCCGGGCCAAGCTCAGCTGCAGGGTCAGATCCTCACAGCGCGCTTCCAGGACTTCGGCATTAGTGGTCAGCAGCTGGTTCTGCTTTTTGGCGCGACTCTTCTCCACAGTCAGCCGCTGGTTGACCCGCTCCAGCTCCTGAATCCCAGCGTCCACCTGCTCAAGTACCTTGACCCGGGTGTCGTTCTCTTCGGCCAAGGCATTGATGTGTTTGCGCAGATGAACTATCTCGCGCTCTTGCTCCTTTGCCTTGGCCTTGTACAACTTCATCTGCGTGTCCAGTTCATTGTTGCGCTCCAGCAGGGTTTTTTCGAGTTCCGCGGCCAGCTGCAGATCGTTTAGCCTGAACTTGGAGACACTGCTTTCTAAAGCCTCCATCTTGTGGTTCTTTTCAGGTAAAAAAACCCTGCAAAAATGTTGTAAGAGTCGGCTTATATTTTATTTATGGCCTTACGGATACGTGTTGGGGTTTGGGTTTCTTTCAAATTGAAATTCACAGGCAACTAGACTTAAAGTTCTTTGACAATATCGTCCAAAGTTTGTTTACCTTTCTACAATAACCTATTACTGGTAAGGCGAACTCTTCACTTCTCTTTAATTTCTTTTAGATAAGCATTTACTCGTTACTCGAGTTTTCAAATATTTGATATACTTCTCTCCTTGTTAATTTTTAAATTAATTTACATTTAATTAGTGGAGTTAGCAGAGTCTTGTTAACTATAAACAAATAAAATTAAATTATATTTCGCACAAGCAAACAATATTTAAACGCAGTTAAATACTAAATTGCCAGCTGATAGAAGAGTCAACAGGACAACGGTGGGCCTCTGTTAGTTCAGCGGAAAAGGAAAAATAAGGGTAGACCAGAGGGGACACCTGGAGCAACAAGAAGGGCGTGGCACGTTCTCCTTGCGAAATCTGTCCCAATCTCCGCTTTTTTGCCATCCTTCGACTTGGGATTCGCCCTTCAATTGCGGACTGAAGGTGAACAAATTGACAAAGGCGTCAAAGTGAAGTTGCTCATCAGGACTTTCTCCGTCCTTAGCCTCCTTCCATACCGTTCCACCCGTTCCACCCCACTCCTTTGTGCACTCTTCCACTGACTGGCCTACCTTTGGGCTTAGTTTTTGTACCTGATTTCTCTTTTACCTAAACACACGGGGAGAAATATACAGGGAGTTTGCAATCTTAGACTATATTTTAAATAAAAATAAAAGAGTTTACAAAATTATTTACATATTAAATATTACATTATTTATATATATATATTTATATTTACATTATTTAAGCTATCCATGTTTTTATCCGCACATATTTTCAGCTTAGCTTCCGTTGACTCTTAGGCCACATTACGCATACGCCGCGTGTGACGCATTTTTTTTCCGGTGGCTAAAAAGGGGAAAAGGAAGGAAGTAGCAGAGGCCAGAGTTCAGCTGCGTGTGGTTCGCCTCTGTTGCCTTCAAAAATGAAATTAAATGCCTTTGATTTATTTATTTATCGTTCCACATCCACGGTTGGAGTCCCACTGGTCCTGGTGGCTTTCCTTTTGATTTTTTTTTCTCATCTTTTCATCATGGAAGGAAAGGTCGCTGAAAGGGGAATTGGTTAATAGAGAGAATTTAAAGAAGGCTGTTGGCAGCACAATTTGTTGCTTTTTTTTTCGTAATATTCACATAAATTATGCAGTTCTGGTCAAAGAGAAGTTAGCCAGGGTCAGCAAAGGCAAGCGGAAACAGCTGTAAATCAAATGAAACAGAGTACACAATTAAAGAAAATATTATTTACCAGACGAATATTTCAAAATATATTTAATTACAAATTTCCTAAATATTTTTCTATACTTTTCTCATATTTGACTTGCTTGGACCTATTTGAAAATGTCAGAACCGATCGGAAAAGGATCAATTGCAGGCCAAGTGGTGACGCAAAAAGTCCTTCAGCTCAAACACTTCTCCATGCCCAATTCCCGAATTTAGAGCCACTGTCATCGTCGTCGCCATCATCAGCATCCGTAGCGTTGCTAACATTCTCGCTGCACCTGCGGCTGTGCCATAACTTTGTCAAGTGCCACTCAACACACACACACACACACAGATCCACGGCACACAGACAGGCACAGATCCAAGGGAAAACCAGCAAAACTGCAATCAAAGAAACCAAAATGAAAAAAAAACCCTCAAAAATATAAAAAACTGAGGATAGCTGTTGGAGACCGAATCTAAGGCTACCCTTACAGGTCTCCCTTTTTACTGATATTTTGCTTCAGACTGAGAATTATTTTTAAATGATATTGATAACGATTTTCCCAAATATTTCCTACCTATTTTAATCGATCTATAACCTAATTGATCTCTCTGCAATTTTAAAATATATAATTACATTGACTTTCACGTCATATATCGATACTATATCGGTACATTTTGCCATCTCTAATCATATCCTAGTCTCTGAGTTTATTTCAAATATATTTGAATGCCTTCAGCATGTGTACAATATCGAGTCAAACAAATTCACGCCCAGTTCAAAAAATCAAACAAAAAACGAAAGTGGCGCGAGGGTGGAAATGGGGAAAAACGGGGGCAAAGGTGGGTTAACAACAAGCTAACTGAGCAATGTCACATGGAGCAGCTACAACAATGGGGAAACAACAAGTACAACAAGAGCTTGGCACAAAAGCAGCTGCCAAATCCGTGGAAAACGATGTGGAAAGTGGCAAGCGTCGAGGGGAAAACAACACACACACAAAAAATAAAGAAAAAAGAGCAGCTTCTGACGGAGTTTCACTTATTTATTCTTGTTCGATTGTAAAAATGAATGAAAACTAGGCATGTTTAGTTGAATCATAGAAAAGGTGTTTAATTTGTATTTACTTGAATTTTATTTTAAATATTGTAACTTTATCTCAAAAGTAAAAGATAAAAGTCAAAGGACTCAACGTCGTCTCATCGATGTCTTATATTTTTCCAAGTCTTTCCTCGACTTTCTGAACTTTTTTTCTACCCAATGCAATTTCCTTCAACCTCCGGTGGGCCGCACAGTAGGACTCAATAGCGCGCTTACCTTTGCTATGAATTTTGCTAAGAATTCAACTCAATCAAGCCCACTGTGCGCTTTTCAATTGCATTGACGGCATTGGTATATATGTCAAATCTTTTGCGTTAACTTCATGTTCAGGTCGTAAAAAAATCTGTCTCGACAAGGAAAAGTTGACTGCCGGTCTTCAGTTTCCTTTCGCAATTTCCTGTCGTGCGTTGGGCGCCAATTATTTGGCCGGACGATGCTCAGAGAGGACGATGACAGTCATCAAAAGGGGATCGATGGCAGCTCAACAGGTTGTCCTCGTTCCCCTCCCTAAAAAAATAGACGCCGGCATATTTGCTTTTTCATTAACAAGACATGGAAATACTTGTTATAATTTTTTGCTACCGGGTATCTCATAGTCGTGGCTGTGTATTCCGCTTGGCTTTGATTAAGCGGAGGTAAACTTTGTTGTCAGTCTATTGATGGCTTTGACTGCCTTTGAGCACAGTTTCTTTCCCCAAGACTGTGTGTAATTTTTGTCAATTTTAATGGCAGTTTGCATGTTTGTTTTAACCATCACTCAATAGAGCTATCTTTGTTGCCCATGGGACAAACTTTCACTTCGATTTGCCGCCAGGCTGACTTTTGACTCAACTTTCAATCGATGAGCGTGTCCTTTGCCTCCTCCTGTGATTGTGAGTTCTTCTTTATTTATATGGCCCAGGATTTTTATCGCTTCAACCACATAGAAGTCGACAGACGACAACAATTTTGCACAAATTATTCTCGAAAAGTTTTGCCTTTCTTGTTTTTGGTTTCACTTCGGTTACCTTTTCTCTATAATATCCAGTATTTCCAAGAGCTTGCGGGTTAATTGTTTGAGGGGGAATTGTACTGGGAAAAGAATATAATATCGATATATTTCATTTTCGATACTTAAAATTTCGATAAATCAAACTTTAGTTTATTTTTGATACAATCACAAAGGAATCGAGGCGTGGGGCACGCTCATCGATTGAAAGCCAGCTTAGACCCTGGTCTTGGCTGGTGTTTTTGCTGGGTACTCAGCTGTCGGGCACAGTCTGAGCACCTTTACTCTTGGTCTTGTATTGTTCTAGCTTGTCATTGATCAGCGTCTGGAAAACAATCACCTTTGATGCTGGCAAGAGGGAAGTAAGTAGGTAGCTCTACTGGCGGGAGAAATGCAAAAAGTTTAAGCTCAGAGTCGAAATAATGATGTGCCTCGTCGGTGTCTTTCACTTTCAAGTGGCAAAAGGGGGCGGCAAATGCAAACGACTGTTAGAGACAACAACAACAACAACAGATGGCAAACATTTTAGTCATCAATTTTTCCAACTCCCGCCTCAATTTCCGTTTCCGCTTCGTGCGTCGCCTTCCTCCCAGTCATTTTCCAGCCGAGCGCTGCTAGCCCAGATCTTAACCGCTTTTCCTTGAGCCATTAGCTTTTCATTAGCAACTTTTATGGTCGTCGATTTGCCGGCTTTTAATTAGCAAGAAGCCGCAACAAGCTTAAACAGCATTTTCAACTTTTTTTATGGTCCCCCGAAAAACTGATAAACAGAAATATGCTTTGATTGTTTGACGAGGCCGGGGAGGGAAGGTATTGTGATTTTCCTAATCGCTTAACGATGTACAAACTTTACGATTATATATAGTATGGGAGTGTATTAATGATGGCAATGGAACTGGGCACAGTTGGAAAAGGGTGCGGGGAATGTATAAATAAATATAAATATTTTCCAAATAAGTTGGAAATGTAAAACATATTTCTTGGAAGTAAACCCAGGGTGTACGTGAATAAATCTGGGTTATTATTTATATAATTTTATATGATTAAACAAATATTATGTAAGTTGTTTTATTTACTAATTAATTAATTGATTAAATATCTTGTTTTCTTTTTCCTTTGACCCACTGTGCTGCTCAGGCATCGTTTACGGCCCGGGTGATTATTCTGGGAGGCAGGAGCCAATGGCTTCCGTTTCGCATGCCAGCCGGATCATTATTTCTGTTAAATTTTTCCCCCCCATCTGCTTTTCTTTTAATGAATCCAACGACCGACGGTGGGCTGAGCATTTTCGGGGGAGGGGGCCGAAGGTGGGGTCACACGCACACACACACACACGAGAGGCAAGCTTAAAACTGGAAACTCAATTAGGTTGCTGCCGAGGACTCATCGCTGCCTTGTCCAACACATGAGAGGGCATGGGCATGGGCACAGAGCTCCCTGGGAGGAAGGTGGGGGGTATCAAAATCACAGCGACAACAGAAAGTACACGCGAAGTACAACAATTACACGAGTTTGGGGCCGAAGAGCGGGGGGCTGGAGGCGACAAAACTAAATACCCAGCAAGTGGAAAGTGGAAAACGGAAACGGAAATGGCACACAGTAAGTGAGAGATGGCGGGAAGTGGTGTATATAGAGTACGGGCAAGTG